CCGCGCATGCTAAATCCTCTCAACTATACCGGTAGAGAAGCGGGAAAAACTGTTTTACTAGATCGAATGGTTTATGTATTTACTATTAAATGACGGACTTACAAAAAAAATATACCTGAGGATATTGTCTGAAGAATGTGCTAATTCGTTACACGATGGGATGTAGTTTACTCGATCATATAAAATCTTGAAAACAGGCTAAAATTAAAATCTAAAACGAATTATTTAAGAATAAAATATATAACTTTCCACATAATTTTTATACGGAGATATTTCTCTTTAAGAACTGCAGAGAATCTATTAAATTTTGGTTTTCAACAAAGCCCTATAGTTATTAAATTCGCGATTATTCCAAAGCTTGAATGTTGCCCAGCGGTTTAAGGACACGCCCGCTGCCCGAAAATGAATCTGCTTACAGATACCCCGGCCCCGCGGGGGCAGAACCGGGGTTATGTGGGACTGGGCTGAACCCTGAAGGGGAGCAGCCCGACCGCACTAAACCCCCGGAGTGTTCCTCTTCTCCGCTGTAGGTGGGGGTACGGGTACGCTGTTGCACTTGTCCGCGCCCCACCAGTGGCTGGCCGCGCCTTGCGCAGCCCCTCCCCGAGAAGGGAGACACATCGGTCCCCCGAAACTTTCAACATATCCTGAAAGAACAACTGTTTCGTTATAATTCGGTTTTCGGTCTAATGAAAATTCGAACAAACGTTATTTCGGACAAAAAAATTTTCGACTTTGTGATAGGTTACCATCATTGAACGCTTGTCGACTTCGGATTTGTGTCAAATTTTATCCGCCTTTTCTTGTTTTATTCATATTAATTTTCAGTTGCTGCACGTGGGCGTGGGCAATGTCTCACCTCCTAAAATTGAGGCTGGCGTTCAAATACTTCGCCTTAATTATAGAGTTGAAGCAGTCGTTCGGTATTTAAAAATGATATCAAATAGTATACGTGTTTATTGTTATGTTCATGGCAGTCAAACAAGAATGCCTCAAATTCAGAATTATTTGGCATTTCATTTCTATCTTAATCCACGATGCTGTTATAAAAGTATCATTTCGTAAATAAGTACCTTTTTCAAATATAACCTGTAGGTACAATTAGAAGAAAAATAAGACAGCCTTATACTCCGAGTGTAGGCATTTACGCGCCGAACAGGCGGGAATTTTTTATTGTGACTCCGCAAAATGACTGCACCGCGCCTGACGGAAAGTGCGAATATAGTCCAGAGATGAGAGTAACGGATGGAAAACACAAATATCTTCACTCCGTCACTATCATTTTGCCGGTCTGGCCAAATGCTTCTTCACACTACGTTTGAAGGACCCGATGTTATAGAGGGGAGGGAATACATGCGCCGGAAGTTGGTTCCACAATTTGATGGTTCGGCATAAAAACGAATTGCCAAACTTTTTAGTGCGACAGGCGCGTGTCGGGTCGGGAGCGCGGCGGGTCTAATGCCGTGTATTTATCGATTGGCCCTATGTATAAGGGCCAAAGCGCAAAATCACAATTTTACAGGAGAGGCTTCCAAACTATCAATCTGGTATTATATGAGTAATGAAATGAGGCATTTCCCACAAAAAAGTGAAAATGATCAAATTGTTAGTTTGGCCCTTATACTTAGGAACCATCGTATATGGACGACAAGACACCTAGCGCGGGCGCGTGCGCCGGTCACGCGCCCGTACGGGTGATAGTGTTTAAGCTTAAAAAAGAAAAAATATTAGTATCTCCTTTCCTCTATATTATTCACATCCTTCGGAATTGCAACTCTCGGGCCGTCGGGTTCCTAGGCCCTTTCTATAAAATGATATACAAACAATTTTGGAACCAAATGGAAACCCCAAAAGCAAGCAGTTAACTTGCGCAACGTATTGACATAGCCATGATCATGATGATTATCTTCAACTGCTCGTCTCGCCACTGGGTACGGATCTCTTCTACCGGTTGGGGACAGCACACGTTTCATTGCGACGTTTTTTTTACAATATATTATATAAATATAAATTTAAATATCTAGGACATTACCTGACGGATGATCTCAAAGATCAAATTGATATTGATCGAGAACGTAGGGCGTTGGCTGCCAGATGTAACATGTTGGCACACAGATTTGCCCGTTGTAGTGAGGAAGCCAAAATTACATTATTCAAGGCATACTGTCAATCCTTCTACACGGGTGGTCTGTGGGTGAACTATACGCAGAAGGCACTCAGCGTCCTGCGTGTTCAATATAATAACGGTTTCAGAATGCTGATGGGACTACCACGGCATTGTAGCGCATCCTCGATGTTTGCTCTAGCGGGAGTAGATGATTTTTTTGCTGTGATGCGAAACAAAAAGGCGTCACTACTCTCGAGGCTGCTTTCTAGTCCTAACAGCATTCTGAAAATGTTTGCGGCTAAGCTCGATGCGCCGATGCTTCAACATTTTATCCAGGTTCTGGTGAGATCATGAGGTTATCGGCGCCTCGAGCGGTAAGTTATATACGTGTTTCTTGTGTTTGTCAATGATTGTCCTTAAATTGTACCTACTAGCAATAGCTTGAAGTTTAAATGTTCTGTATCGTTTTGTATTACTAACAAGTGGGCCATAGATGTCCAAATAAATGATTTATTATTATTATTATTATTATTATTATTATTATTATTATTATTATTTACACAAATGTGATACAGGGATTCGAAATGACAACATCTCTGTTCTTCTAATCGTATCGATGGCATACGCATGAAATGATTTGTCATCAGCGTAAGGTATGCGCCTAGTGTTGTCCAGGGTGCGCTAGGCGTACAAGAAAGGAATGGTACGTCATACGGGGAACTTCTCTGTTGAAAAGCAACCTTTGTCCCACTGGACTACTACCGCTTATTGTACACTTATTTACAGGTAACTAACAGATTCATGCGTTACTTTGCGGAAGTACATGTTTATAAAAATGGAAGTAAATTAACTTGCTGGTATGGGCTTTGACGTCTTGATAGTAGGTAGTTAAGTTAGTTGTAGTTTGTAGTACCTGGGGACCTTATGGTACCTCAGCGCCTCCCTGATAACGGCGAAGGGGAGAGTGCCGAAGGCGTTGGCTATGTCCAACGACACAGCTACCACGCATTCCCCCTCGCCGTTACCCTCCTCCACGATGTATCGCAGCGACTCCAGGGCGTCCAGGGTGCCGCATGCGTCCTCGCCGGTACTCCGCCGTGGGACCTCGAAGACGAGGTCCTGGCGGAGGTCCACGCCTACCGGCGGGGAATGAGGGACCGAGGCGAGCGTCCTGCTCCCCAAGAGGTCGAGCGGGAGCGCCGCCTCGCTGCGCGGCTTGGCGGATCCCCCCTATGGCGCTCGTACCATAAGGGCGATCCGCCCTGTCCTCGTAGAGTGGGTAAACCGGTCCCACGGGCCACTGTCGTACCACCTTGTGCAGGTGCTGACTGGACACGGGTGTTTCGGTCACTACCTGCACAAGGTGGCGAGGAGGGAACCGTCCCCGTCGTGCCACGAGTGCGGCGCTGCGGATGACACCGCGCAGCCCACCCTAGAGGTGTGTAGACGGTGGGATGAGCAGCTCCGCACTCTGACGGGGACTGTAGGGCAGGACCTCTCGCTGCCGAGCGTGGTTGCCGCCATGCTCGATAGCGAGGAGTCCTGGAAGGCGGTGGCCTCCTTTTGCGCAGAGGTTATGTCGCAAAAGGAGGCCGCGGAGCGGGTGCGCGAGGACGCGGCGGACGCGCACCCGCTTCGGCGCAGACGTACGGGGAGAAGGCGAAGGCAGTTCGCTGCTCGCCTGGTCCCCTAGTGAGACCAGCGGTCTCTGGACAGGGACTCCGGAGCCTGCATTGCACGGCCTCACTCGTCTGGGGGGCGGGTCGGAGGACAACCGACTCGCCCCTCCGTTGGCGCGGGAGCCCTGGCGCAAGCTGGGGCGGCCGGGCGGCGTCGTGGTGAATGTTCACCGACCCCACGGCGCCGACTCAACCGGCGAGAGGGAAACCCGGGGGGGTTTTAGTGGGGTAGGCCCTCCAGTCTGGAGGGAGAGTCCCCACATAACCCCTGAGTCTCCCTGGGCTCCCTGGGCATAAAGATTTCCCCCCCGTCAAAAAAAAAAAGAAAAAGTTGTAGTTTGTAGTTAGTTAAGTTATAGAGTTGACGTACAATCGTAAAGTTTATTTTCGTTTAAATACAAGTTATTATATGGATGCTTATGTGACCGATTGCGACAGAGTTATTAAATCAACTAAATTATAATAAAAAGTGAATCAGTCGATTCACGTAAAGCAGGGCGCAAACTCAGCGTCTAAATCTTGCACGTGACCCGTACACTGCTACTCCGCGAACACAGTGAAGGTTAAATTGTGAAAAATAGCTAGCTTGAGTTGAAGATTTTTTCATGCAGTTTATATTTCCTTCCATTTTCACTTATTTACAAACCAATATTACCTTATTTTACATAACAACATATAAAATATATGTATATTACATACACGACATATAAAATATGTGTATATTACACTAATGATTTTCTTTTTGTATGAATATCATTGTGAAGTCACGTTAACATTCAATTGTGTACGCTTTAAATGAATAACGTCCGCCAACATAACTTCACACAGATGTTGTTCACGTTGTACGGTGCACGCGTACAATTTAAAATAAATACAAAGACGTTAAATTATAACACTTGATGTTATAATTCCGAAGTCTAAGGTTTTGTTTGCAATTATTTTAACAATACATGGTGAAATAATTAGTCGGTAAAAAGTGGAATTACATATATTTGCCAAGTTTTCTTCAAATTTGAGTGAGATCACTACCCCGGTACGCCCTTTCCAAAAAAAATCATAGAAATCGGTTCACAATATCTGAGCAATCGCGTAAGATATACAAAAAAAAAAGAAATTACAGTCGCATTGAAAACCTCCCCCTTTTCTGAAATCGGTTAAAAACAGACTACGTATTATGTAACCTTTAATAAAAATAATGTTTCTGTAAATGGCCCGAAACGCCGGTTTGTTTGAAAAAACAAATACACGCGATTTAAATCCGGAAAAATAGTTTCATTTCCTATGTGTAACAATCGCGAAAACCTAAGAACTCAATAATGTTTCTGATAAAATAGGTAGAGTCCAGATTGAGGCTTTCTTTGTATGACCAATCTAGGGAAGTTGTTTCTGCACAAACAAGTTAACATTATCAGCTACGTAAAAGGCGTGGAATTCAATACTTGTCAGTCCACGCACGTTAACGTTAGCGTCAAAAAAAGGTTACAACTAACTTTTAAACGCGTGAAGGCTGTTAATTAAAAAGAAAACAATGGCACACTTATTTTTGTCATAATTTATTAGCGAACAGAAAAGAGCTATATTAATTTTGAATAATACTGTGTATTTTTACTTTACAAAAATGAATTCTATGTTGATAGTATTAGTGTTAATAGCTAGTGCAGTGAGTGAAAAGTGCTACTGGAATGATCCTTGTGTTTACCAGTACTTCTCTACGAAGACACCTTATGATGCTATAAGAGGAGATATCAGAGACTATGACAAACCTGAAAGTAAGTAGATTCGGTTTATCTAAGGCTGATATTGTGATATAACTTTGCCTGTACTGGAGTGCCAAAAAGAGGTCTCGGGTTCGATTCGGGGGCCGGGAGAAATATTTGTATGGCGTACATATAGTTTAGTTTAGTAGATAGAGTTTGGATGTAATTTATGGTTGTCTATGGGGTGTGTCCATGGCACCCGCGACACAGGCTTTTCCTAGTGCAAGGCTATGAGTCCAGTTCAGGGTAGTATTACCACCTTACTTATTTCTGCCGCCAAGCATTAATATCAGCGTTACTGTGTTCCGGTTTTGAAGGGTAAGGGTGCTGGTGAAATTACAGGCACATGGGACTTGTCGACTTGTGTCTCTGGGTGACGGGCGCAGTGGGCGAGATTTAAAGCTCGTGAGTGGCACTGCAACTGTTATGGACAGGCGTGTAGCTTATCATCTGGCTCACGACTTGTTCGTCCCGTCACTTGATTTAAAAAAAAAATGAGTCAAATAAAATCTTTTTGACGTATGATTAAATGAAATTTTATTATACCAAGGGTACGTTTTTTTCCCACTAGGCTAACACCGCTCTAGATATTCCAATTCTTCAACTAGAAAACTAATCTGGAAACTCTCAAATAGCTAAATTAGCTGAGCTATGTATTGACAAAGTATTCCTTAATATTACAGATTGCGAAGCCGTAAGTTTCTGGTCGATGCATAGACATGGAAATAGGAATCCTGGCGACAGTGACATTAAGGCGATGAGGATCGTAGCTCAGTTAAAAGACCAGATAATCAAGAGTCATGAAAGTGGAAAAGGCCAGTTATGTGCTCAGGTATTTAATTTTATACAACATCACATATGTTGCTTTGATCCCAAAGTAAGTAACTAAAGTACTTGTAGAAAATGAAACTATTTTTCCATTGACTTACAATTATATGGACGTCCCTCGGGTCCGCGCTAAAAGTGTCCGAACTTATAGGGCGTTAAAATCGTATACAGAGCGTCATTCACGCTTTAGTCTTCGTTTGTTCGACTGACAGCGAAACAAGCAAAATTAGACAGTACTGCGATGACATTACAATTTAAATTCAACGTTTTAGCTTTTTCATATTCCTTTACATGTCACTACGTTTAAATAGGTTGACTTGGGACATTTTTTTCGTGGTTTTTGTATTAGACCCGTCGTCTATTTATTTGTAAGTCAAAGTATTTTTCCGAATTTTTCGCGTATATATTTTTTCAAACAAACCAAAGGAAAGGAAAAATAGTTTCATTTCCTATATGTAACAATCGCGAAAACTTAAGAACTCGATAAAGCACTTGTGTTATGAAAATCGGAAACAACGATGGTGTCACAAACACCCAGACTTGAGACATCAAAAGTTAGTTTTTCTACATTGACAGCAGGATCGCACAGATGGCGACGCCGTAAAATCCGGTGTGCAAGCCATTCGCCACGGAGGTATAGACTGCCTTTTTTGAAGATTTACACTTTCATTGCAGAACCTATTTAGTCCAAAATTCCGTACCTGAGAAGCATTACACTGTAAATGCTATTTTTGTAATTTTACAGGAGACGTGATTTTGTGTCGAAATGCAGCATGTACATGTACAACATTTAGATTGGCTTTAAATAAAACTAATTGAGTTTTAATAACATTTCGAACTTTCCTAATTGGCGTACAAATTGCTTTTCGACACAAAATCGCTTCCCCCGTAAAATCACAAAAATGCCGCTTACAGTGTAATGCTTCTCAGGTACGAAATTTAAATTAGGTTCATAATTATGCTCATGGAAATGGACATACTTTAAGAAACGGTTATACGAGTATAACATACTCATGGACTTAACATATTTAAAGGAACGCTGTAAAAATTTTAATTGTGATAACAACGATCATGTTGGTTTATGTACTGGACACATATACCAAAACGTTTAATGGAAATCAAAAGAGAACTGTAGTCATTCTATTTTCAAATTAAACTTTATCTGTCATATTTTTAATCGTAATAGACATTGACTTACAAATAAATGGACGACGGGTCTAATACAAAAACCACGAAAAGCATGTCCCAAGTCAACCTATTCGAAATTTAAATTGTTATGTCATCGCAGTATCGCGCTGTCCGTAGAACAAATGAAGACTAAAGCGGAGTGTCGCGCTCTGTATACGATTTTAGCGCCTTACAAGTGCGGACACTTTTTAGCGCGGACCCGACGTCCATATAATTGTAAGTCAATGGTAATAGAATACTTTTTCCTAGTTAAATTAGTAGTACGTACTTATTATACGTACATTTGTTTACGCTATGATTCCTTCTCTGAGTATTACAAACCAGGATCATTCACCTAAAATGAAGACGTAACTGTGAGCAAAAAAATATCAACAAACCAATTGTTCTAGGATTACGTAGCTCTCGACTCAAAGCAATTTCAAATCAGGATAATTACATTACAAAAATTAAACCTCTTTTCACAGGATATCGAACTATTCCGAAAATGGACGTGGAACGAGACGGTCGAAGTATCAGAGTCGTACCTCACAGGAATTGGATACGAAGAACTTTACGACATTGGCAAAAGGATTCGGCAGACGTACCCTAAACTTCTCACAGGAAGTGACAAAGATTACTACTTTAGAAATACTAATGAACAGAGAACCGTGGTCAGTGCTGTTGCTTTCATGCATGGACTTACGGATGGCACCAATTTGAAAGTAGTTGCTGATGATGTTAGGGAAAAAGACGACGTTATTAGGGTAAGTGATTTTGATAACTATCTTCAAAAAGGAAGGAAGTGGATGATAACAATAATTGGTGTTAATTATGAGTATATGTAAAGTAATTCCGGTTGGACTGTGCGAAATGGGGCATCATGGAAACTGGTCTTTTTGTTTTAAATTGTTTTTAGTTTTTGGTGTTTGACTCTGGAATGACCAAAATATGTTCAGAAACGCATTCATCAAATTAAAAATAAAACTATCGATTTTTTTAAGTCCTGAGTCTTGGTAAATGAAACTTTTTCAACTTAATTTTCTCGAAAACCATCGCCCGCGGAGAACCAACGATACGGTTTATCATTATTCTGAGCTGGAGAACTTTCACTTTGAGATTTGATGTTCTGTTCTATTAACGCTAACTCTTAAGACTATCACGCACAGTTCTGGTCTGTCTGTTTTCAACAATACCTTACCCCCTTCATTAGGTCTTTGGGCCATCTCTTGGCCATTCTATGCATCGTTGAACATAGTTTTTGTGCAATCCACTATTTGACATAGGTTTCCTTAGCGTCTATCGTGACTTCCAGAGCTTTGTCACTTCCATCGAGCTTGCCTTTTCATGTCCATGCGTCATTTCCCTACAGAATTTTTATGATGAGAAATAGGAATTCAAAGAGTAATCTATAATGACATCGTCATTAACAGGATATTAATAATAGTAATATGTGGTATCGATATACAGCTTTTTTACTGAAATCGTGTTTCATTGTTTGCGTAATGATTAATAATGGCTTACTTTTAACGTCTAATCTAATAAATAAATACATTTCTATAAAATTTTATTTGTCCTCTGACAAAAAACTCAACCATAAAAAATACAGTTTGATAATGGTGCTGCGAGACGGATTAAGAAAATTCGCTCAAGGAGTTACTTTTCATTCCTACACTAGGCCTGTCTTGTAGACAAACAAATTCACAGAGAATTAAATCATGTTAGGCGAAAATGTCTTTAGGAACAATGAGTATTTTACTTAGTAACAAAATGTAATTTGGTTGTCTATGTTGTAGTTATAATATTGAACAAAAAATTCTTTTACTAAAAACGAATAAATGCATTTGATTTGATTTGATTTGAAAAATCTAAATCTCTTTATTTTTCTCGTTAACAATCTCAGAAATAAGGCAAGTATTTGTATGTGCATTTGATTCTGAGAAGATGTATATGAGTAGTTAGTGTAACTGAGTGTACATGTATGTATTGTGGCAAGCGTGAATTTGAATGTAAATCTGCATTACCGTTGTAATAATCCAATATTTTCTTCGACAGGCTTACAAAAATTGCGATAAATATAATAAAGATGTGAATGGAGGACCGACTGTTAACAGAGAAATTGAAGCCTTTGTTAACTCAGCCGAAAACATTGCCGTAAGTGTATCTCATTTTTAAATTGTGTTGTGAAATTGTGACACGAGCAATAGAAACAACTCATTACGAGAACAAATTGGATCTGAGCTGAGGTAGCATCAATTCTTAAAGCTTTTTAGGCACTGTAACTGTTACTAGATGTCATAAAAAAAAGGTGGACAACTAACTCAATGCGGGTTGAGATTTAAGTTGTTGTCAAAGAGTTTTGGTGAATCTTCAAGGATAGTTTTTCTTTGCTTTTAAAGTTAGCAATCTAAAGTATAGAATTGTTTCATATTGCTTCAGGTACGAAACGCAGTGCAAGCACGTCTTGGGTTAGACTACCAATTGACACTAGAAGACGTTAACACCTTCTATGAAATGTGCCGGTTTTATCGTTCATGGGCGCCAGATTTGAAGTCACCTTGGTGCGCCGTGTTCACAACTGAGGATTTAATCGTGCTGGGGTACAAGGACGACGTCAGGCATTACTATCGGAACGGATATGGCTCCTGGGTAAAGTGATTTTGTTTTTTCTATATCTTTAACATTAAGATTATAATCTTCATCGATCTTATCATTTGTTGAGGCCTTCACACGATTTCTCAACATTGAACGAATGTGAATCATCTCTGTCATGTGGATATCATTGAGATAATAAAAATGATCAAAACGCCGTCTTATTAAATTACGTAATGTTCCACCATGGACTATTAAGTCAAGACGACAGCTAATCTCCATACTATAGATAGCAACTCCGGAAAAGGTCAAGAACCCGTCTTATATCTAGATTGCGCTGATCGACAGCTAGGAAGTAGTTTATATTATGTAAATGGCCGTGGACATCAATGACTCCTCTTTAATATGAAATATAAGCAGCCAGTTTTGTCAGTTTTGTAATATTATTCAAATCTTGACGATGCTTATCAATAGCTGGCTTTGTCCATCGAGTATATGACCAGAAATAGAGGCGAAATAAGGACCATCCATTCCTGGCAAATCATCAGGCAAATGGGCCTTATATAACTTTTAAATAACACACACACACACACACACACACACACACACACACACACACACACA